CAACATCTGTGTCCTCTCCGTGTTGGCATCTCTCGATGATCTTTTCTCATTCAAGTTGAGTTCTCGGTATGATGAGTGATTTTCGACTGTGTCTTGGTCATTTTGGGTATTATGTTATAAGACTCTGAGTCTTATTTAAATCTTCTATTTTCCCAGACCTCTTCTGACCCTGTGTTGGTCGGGAAAGAGGGCTGATGCCTTGTTATTGCTAGCTGGAGGGTGGAAGTCCATGTTCTCCATATGGCCCCACTGACACCACCCAGCAGAGGGTTGGGGCATCTCGGTACAGCCTGAGAAGAGCAGAAGTCTAGGTTCCCCACTCAAATGTTGCAGATAAGGATGAGGCCACAGTTTTTTCTGTAGTGTTTGGCTGGAATAGAGTGCTTATTACATAAAAGTTTTCTGTCCTGCTAGATTTCCCCTTTCCTGGTCCTTTGGCTAGAGAAAGTAGGGTTTTCTTGGGGCTTTTTTCTGTCCTTGCCTGTTGGTGTTTTTGGATTGTTGGCTTCTCTGGCACCAAGTCTAGGATATTGAAGCAAACATAAACAACAACAACAAAGCCCACTGAATTCACCATTGTGTCTTTGCTTGTGTCCCAAAGTCCCTAGCTGGTCTGCCCGTCTCTCTGCCTTTCAGAGTCTTCTTGTGTTTCTTTTATACCTAACGTCTGAGGTTATTAGCAGTATGTAGCAGAAGGAACAGAGTAAGTACATCTCCTCCATCTTGTCTTGGAACTGGAAGTCTCCTCGCCATATTATTTTGAGTCTAGAAAGTCACACACCCTTCCCTAGGATTCTGTGACCTACTGTATTGGCAGCAATGACAGAGTCCCCTACAGGACTCTACATCAAATCTGCATCTATAATGAATGCTGACTGTTGTTGGTGACCCTTCACTGTGCAGCCTCCTGTCCCAGCGAAGCAGCATCACTGGACTTTCTCTGTAATGGGATAACGGCTGGGGGACACCACCTGTCCTCTCTGACAGCCTCCTTGACGCTGGTGTACTTTCCTGTAACAGGTGAAATACATGTGGGAGGTCAAGAACATTTCTATATGGAAACCCAAAGCATGCTGGTTGTTCCCAAAGGAGAGGATCAAGAAATAGATGTCTACGTGTCCACACAGATTCCCAAATATGTACAGGTAACATGGGGCCTCTGTGGAGGGGACATGGCTAAATGATTTCTGCCAGCAAAATATACCAGGAGCAACTAGGGACAAAAGTGTCATTTCAGAGACTGAAGGAATTTGGAGTATTAATAACCAATCTGTTTGGGTATTAATAGCCATACAATTGCAAGGCTTTTAAGAGCGTATGAAAGTAGGGGCCTCCTGTTTGTGGATTCATAACTTTAAAACCAATTATGGAATCAGCAGGTCTCTTTCTGTACTCTTGCCACTGTTAAGAATACAAAAAAAAGGGGAAGGCCTGCCCTCCAAAGCCTATAGAACCTAACTCACATGAAGCAGTTAGGAAACATTTTGGACAGAATGCAGCCAAGTGCATACTCAGCCAGGTTAGAATTTACACAGGTGGCCAAATTTCGAGAATAAGGATTTGCTGGGTTCTAGAATCATCCAGAAAGTCCCATGAAAGCCAAGACTTCAGTTTAGATTTATAGTGAGAGTGAAGTTTGTCTAGACGGTGAGAAGAGAGGCCATTTCCAGGCAATTCCACACCAAGAGCGAATGCCACTCGTTCGTTCATTCATTCACTCGTCCCTTCTGCAAACACTTATTGCCTGTGTCCTATGTATCAGGCAGCATGCATGTAAGAAAGAGGAAAGGCACAAAGATGCCCACGCTGGAACGGAGGATGCATTTAGGGGGCCTAGTTTAAGCGTCAGGGTGAAAGTACAGGGCACAAAGCACAGGGCTCTTGATTCAGTGGGTCATAAGGAGCCAGTGTCGTGACCAGAGCAGGTGG